TGGAGGCAGCTCTAAAGGAGGAATGGCACCATGCCCATGTTCAGCATGTCGTTCCATGTCATTTAGAAAACGGTCGGATGTTTAGAATCATTTGCTTCGGAAAGGTTTTGATGAAAGCTTCATCCAAGAGCAAGAAAGTATATGTGAAGGTTCAACTATTGATGATGATGATGATGTTGATGATAGGGCTAGTACCATAGAATTGTTACATTCTTTGATCAGGGGTACTATATGTGGAGAAATCGATGAGGAACAGCCAAATGAGATGGCAAAGAAGTTCTTTAAATTGCTACAAGAGGCCAAGAAGGAGTTGTTTCCACGCTGCACGGAAGCTACCCAGGTGTCTTTCATTGTCAAAATGTTTCAGATGAAGTGCATGTTTGGTTGTAGTAATGCTTGCATGGAGTACGTACTTGGGCTGTTCTTACTTATTCTTCCTAAAGGACACTGCCTCCTAGATAGTATGGAGAAGATCAAAAAGGTTATTAGAGATCTTGGTCTAAATTATGAAAAGATAGATGCATGCTATAATGATTGTGTGTTATTTAGAGGGAAAGAATATGAGGACCTGGATAATTGCCCAAAATGTGGTGCGACAAGGTGGAAGCAGTCTAAAGAGGTACAGGATGTTGGCAGTAGTTGTGGCTCAAAAAAGCGTTTTCCTTGTAAAATCCTACGGTACTTCCCACTGATTCCACGGCTCCAAAGGATATATATGTCAGAGACTAGAGCATCATATATGCGTTGGCATATTGGTGGTTGATGGAAAAATGCGACATCCTGTGGACTCCAATGCATGGAAACATGTGGATGCAACCTATGAATGGTTTGTAGAGGATCCTCGTAATGTTAGGCTTGGTCTGGCATCTAATGGATTCAATCCTTTTGGTATGTTGAATGTGTCATACAGTTGTTGGCCTATGATTTTAATTCCTTACAATCTTCCGCCATGGTTGTGTTTGAAACAGTCGTTTGGATGTTATCGATGATGATCCCAGGAGCGAGATCGCCTAGTGTTAGCATTCATGTGTACTTGCATCCTCTAATTGATGAGCTCAAAGTTCTCTGGGAAGAGGGTGTCAAAGCTTGGGATGCAAAGGAGAGGAAGGATTTTGATTTGCATGCAATTCTACTATGGACAATAAATGACTTTCCAGCATATGCAATGCTTTCTGGATGGAGTACGAAAGGCAAGTTTGCATGTCCATACTACCATACGGAAACAAACTACTTATGATAGAAGCATGGGAAGAAGCACTGCTACATGGGGCATCATCGCTTTTTGCCTATGGACCACAAGTGGCACAAAAACAAGGTTAGTTTCAACAACAAGAAAGAATATATGGAGGCTCCACAACCACTGACTGGAGAACAGGTGTTGCAACACTATGATAGTTTTGACCAAGTCACATTCGGCCCTAAATCAAGAAAAAGGAAGCAGCGTGACAAAGAAAAGAGATGACACAACTGGAGGAAGAAGAGTATTTTCTTCCAGCTTCCGTACTGGAAAAAAATGCTTATTAGGCACAACTTGGATGTGATGGATATCGAGAAAAATATATGTGAGAGCATATTGGGCACTTTGCTAGACATAGAAGGTAAAAGTAAGGATAATGAGGAAGCTCGGCTTGACATGCAGCATCTCGGGATAAGGATGGATCAGCATCCAGAGCATGAGAATGGTAAGTTCACCTTACCACCTGCTTTGTACAAATTAGAGAAAGATGACAAGAAACTTTTATGCAAATTTCTACATGAAGTTAAGTTGCCTGATGGGTACGCGTCCAATATCCGAAGATGTGTGGATGAAAATCAGTGTCAGCTGTCTGGTCTAAAAACTCACGATTATCATATTATATTCCAGAAACTTTTACCATTAGTACTACGCAACATTCTACCCAAGAAGTTGTTGTCCCATTGATTGACTTGAGTAGGTTCTTCAGTTCGCTTTGTTCAAAGGAGCTGGATGAAAAGGATCTTGCTAACATGAGTGCTTCGATTAGGGAGACTCTATGTCGGCTTGAGAAGATATTCCCACCTACTTTTTTTGACATCATGGTATATTTGCCAGTTCATCTAGCCGAAGAGGCTTCACTTGGTGGACATGTATGCTATAGATGGATGTATCCCATGGAGAGATATCTGCATATGGTAAAAGGTTATGTGAGTAACAAAGCACATCCTGAAGGCTCAATAGCGGAGGGATATATCACAGAAGAGTGCATGACATTTTGATCTTTGTTCTTCAAAGACATGCCAACTCGCCCAGAGCGTCATGAAAGTGCCACAGCGCCTGAACCACAATCTGGTTTGACCGTTTTTGGTGACCTTGACTACAGTAGGAAAGGCTATAGTTTCAAGGTCTTGGACGAATCCGAGATGCTGAGAATAAGGCACTACATACTCACAAATACCGAGGAGTGTGCTACTTTGCCTGAGTGAGTTAAATTTAACATTTCAGCATGCTATTTTTTTGTTCACATGATATATTACTAATTCTTTGCATTTTGTTTGGTCTGCCCACTGTAGTGCACATAAGGCTTCACTAAAGGAATATAATCCGCATAATGTTGAGAGAAGACACAAGCAGCAATTTATTGGTTGGTTTGAGGACAAAGTGAGTCACCAGAATTTTTTTTGTTCATATTATGATGCACGTAATGAAAGCATCTTATTAATTTTTGTTAAATGGAAGTACAAACCAAACAAGAATATGACCAAGGAAAAGCTAGTGAGGAGATGTACAACCTTTCTCAAGGACCAGATGATCGTGCTCGTGTATTCAATAGATGTTTCATCAATGGCTTCCTATTTTCGGACGGTGTCGGCAGAGACGAGCTTGATCACACAAAACAGTGGTGTCCTTGTCAAGGGTGATGAAAGTACGAGTAATATGGACTGGTATGGAGTTATTAAGAAAATTATCTCTCTACAATTCACTGGTGGAAAGGAAGTGATGATGTTTCAGTGTGATTGGTTCGATGTCCCCGCTCCAACAAAGAACAAAGGTAAAGGGTACAATAAAGATCAATATGGAATTATAGATATTGATACTACCCGTCTCAGATATTCAGATGATCCCTATATTCTGGCGACACAAGCAGAGCAGGTGTTTTATGTCAAACACGCAAAGAAATCAAATTGGTGTAGCGTTGTTCGAATCAAACCAAGAAACCTTGTCTCCATGCTGGAATCAGCTAGTGTTGAAGAGGAAGCAGAAATTGATGTTGACTCATTGCTTGTTGGGGTGGAGGACATGACTGTTAGAAGCGATCAGGGGGACTTGATGAATTGGCGACGAACGGACATGGAAGGGGAAGCAATTGATACTTCTGTTATTCAGAAAGCAATTGCTCAGTTTGTACCAGAACCAAATGATGAAGATTTTAGTGATGAGGGTGAAGATGATGTAGACGCATATATTGACGATGGAGTTGTGGCACCTGCCATTGCGACAAATGACAAAGCTGATGATGATTTTTTCGTTTAAGTATTCACAATTTTTCTTGAATGACGTTTGGATGTTCTTAGCTGATCAACAGCATGCTTATGTTAAAACGTGCGTTTGTGTGTGTGTGTGTGAGCAGCAACTAGCAGGTTTGATTTTTTGTGAAGGATTATTTTGTGGATTCCCAGCTACTAGCATGTCTAAATACTTGCGTGACTCATTTTCTGGATTCCCAGCTACTAGCACTACTTTGCCTAAGACGGCGAGCCACAAATCATGGCCGGATCAAGAGGTAAGTCACTGGAACAGCTCAAACATGCAACAGAAACACGAGCGCTTACACTTCTTGACAAATGGTTACTAACCATGTAGGTTTGCAACGACACATCATTTTTACACCAACCTAGAAACAGTCAACCACTTTACATGTTTTCCTGAGGACAAGAAAACAGACAAAGAAACATATGGTGGGGTCACGGGGGGTGCGAGACACGGTGGATTGCTGAGGTGTTACTCTCCGTATTCAGGAATCGCCGGGCCGGCCTAGTTAGGATATTATTTGCCTGTTCTCCAACTGAGCATGCGCATTAGTCCCACATCGCAAATTCAGCGATGTAGAGACCTGCTTAAAAGTTCAATGCTGCAAGCTCGGTCGAACTCACTACCTATAATATTACCATGACTAAGCTGTACTTTGTTGGGCCAGTTCTAGGGTTCAACCTGGTGAGGCCACTGGCTTGTGTCCAGCACCAATATTTTTGTGCTTTTCACCTACAATTTTTGTTTACCTTTTCAAAATCAATGTGTTTTTTAATTGTTACTTGGAGTGAGCTAGGTTCTCATCGTGGAACTCAAATATAGCGACGAAGACCACCATGACGACACTTGCAGCCGAGGGCGCCCCACCACGGACAATGATACAAAGAGAAAAAAAAGGCCTAAGTGAATTCGAAAATAGTTTATTGTTCCAATACAAAATCATGTACTATCATTTTATTATTTTTCTAAATATGATGTAATTATCTTAAAATTATAGAATGTAAAAAAATAAATCACACAAGTATTAGAAAAAGTACAAAATAAATCACACAAATACAAAAATAAATCATGTAATTAGATTAGTATATTTGTTAATTATTTTTACAAATCTAAGTATAATTATTAAAACTATTTTAAAACCTATTTACAATTTTCTATATTTTCTCTTTATTTATTTCACATCAGGAACTGTTTTTTATTTATTACTTTTTATTATAGTCCGCATCACGTCTGCGAAACCTGGCTCTCAAAATTCCCAAAACCGCGAAAATTTCCACAGCGCGCGTCGTCCTCCCACGAAAAAACAACCTGGGCCGCTAATTACTCTCCCTCCCTAATACACGGTTTATATTCCTACTAATCTGCATCATGGTAGAAGAGGAGCCGATGCCCCCAACCTAGCGGTTCTTTCCATCGCATCTTCTCCACTCCGAGGCGAAATGGAGAAGACCGCACACGCGCCGTCGTCGTCTACTACCGGTAAGTTGCCGCCGCCGCCGCCTCCACGGAGGCCATGTACCAGGAGATCGCCGTCTACTCTATCCAAGAGGATGCCGTCTCCTCCCTCCATGAGCTCGCCATCTCCTCCGTCCATCGGAGGTTCTCCACGCGGTCTAGCCCTGAAGGTGTCATAGACACACCTCATCGTCGACAAGATGGACCCGAGAAGCAAAAAGATGACCAACCCAGGTACCTGTCGATATGCAGTTTATGTGCTGGTTGGAGAATTGCCGTCAATTAATTGGTTGGTCAATTAATTAATTAATTGAACTCTGTTTAAAAAAATTCAATTATCCATCATTATTTTCAAGAAATTGTGGTGGCTGAGTTGATGATTTAAATTTTTTTGTAGTTTTAAGCTTTCAATTATAATTGGTTGGATGTGATACAACTAGGGTATGCTTGTGTTTCCTAGGAAGAGATAGGATAAGTGCACACATGATGTTATAACACTACTGTTTCTATTGAATGAACAATTTAGATATTGGGTAAATTTGAAAATTGAGGTACTGACCATACATAAATTGACCATACTGCAGTGAATAATTTTATATGGTTTGTTCCCAAAATTGTTAGGAATTTGCCATATTGCAGTCATTAATTGATTTTACAATCATAAGATAAATTTGTTGAATGAAGTTGAAATATTTTGTAGAAAAACACATGAGAAAACGGGAGATAGATGGAAAGTATTTATTGATTTCTCGGGGGGACCCAAGGACCAGCAACGTGCCATATTGGACATTGACCGTGCTAAAATTACCTTTGCCAACTTATTAAAGTACAAAGTTAAGTTGGGTTATTATGCGAGGGACTTCATGTACTATATGAAGAGATGTGGCAAAAATAGAGCTTTGCTGCAGTGTATAGATTACGAAGAAGATGCATTGACAATGATAGAAGTTTGTACAGAAGAGAAGACAATTAGGATAGCAGTTTCAACAACTCAGGTAGATCAGGAAGGAGAATATGCAATCACACCGATTAAGCAACGTAGTACACATGAGGAAGTTAGTGGAAAAGGAATTCAGGATGAAGACATTGATGCGTACAAGGTGTGGCTCAATAAGCTACCACATGATGAAAACAACCCAAGTACTAATGTACTAGAAAAATACATCTCAATGATTTTTAGTTACTGATCTAAACCTGACACTATATATATAACATCTATATATGCATCTCACAGAATTTAAGGATGACACCCGGCTGAATACTGTTGCAACATATAAAGAATGGTTGAGGAGGGAAGGGCTTCTTCAAGATATATGTAATCTGATTTTGTTTTATCTTGGCATTAGTGGAAGCATTAATATATATATATATATATATATTCCAACTCCATTGTAACTGTGTACTTTCACTTTTTTTATGTGCAGACGCATATTTAGATGATGAAACCATTGAAGAAGACGGAAGTGGTGACAATAGCGCAACACCAATGCAGTTTCTAGCTCATGCTCATAGGCCAAAGGCCTCTCAGAAAGGTATGCAATGGTTCAGAGTGTTCATACATTACTATAACATAAAAATGCTGATTTATAATGTTAACATACGTTCCATTTTATAACATCAATTTTACAGTAGGGGTTGGCGACAAGAGAAAGATTGGGCGTGGAACCTTGAAAGGTTTATCGGTCGAAGCTAAGAGATTTAAACTTGGCATTGAGAAACTTAGTATAGATTTCTCATCCACGAAAGGCGGACCTATAGGAGATAACTATCGTGGGTCTGTTGATGAAATAGTTCGGTTTATAAGAAAAAGGACTCCACTTATTGGAGTTAAAAAGTGGGGAGATGTCAAGCAGATTGTTAAAGATAAAATAGCACGAGATATAATGGTATGTTATAGTCTTGCTCCCGCGTATGATAAATTAATTCTTTGTAATATCTTATTTGTTCACAATTTGTTAGTATCCCTTTTCTACAGGTTAGGTGGAACATCGAGAACAATGATGATGAGAAGGCTAGGATATGGAAGATTGCAAAGTATCATTACAAAGGATGGCGAGCTCAATTGAGTGCCACATACAAGGCATACAACAGTTATCATGAAAGAATGAGACATAAGCCAGATGATTTGGACATTGTGGAGTGGCACTACTTGGTGTTGTATTTTGGAAGTGACAAATTCTAGGTTCCAAGCCTCTGACATATATGTGTTTATTGTCTGTATTTTTGTAGTGCAACTAACATATCTGTGTTTATATTAGCGAATAAGCACCACAAACTCTAGCAATTCGCAGCATCGACAGACAATACATCTTACAGAATCAAAACCTTTTTCACAAGTTAGTTATGAGCAGGTAATGATATGGAACCTAATCTTCTTCTTTTATTTTTTACCTAAACAGTAACAATGTTCAATTTTCACATCTTAGAGAAACCTGTAGACCGGTGAAGAGCCAGATGGTTTGACATTTTGGAGGAGTACACTTACCAAGGAGGGCCGATGGTCTTCTGATGCCGCTAAGGAAATATATGTAAGTGCTACTTTGTTCATTAGTACTTAGTGATGTTGCAATTATATATAACATAATTATTATATTGATGGTTGTACATGCCCTGATTGGGTGATAAAAGGTCATCATCTCCTTGTCCTTGTGTTGGGTTTGGCAATCCTATCTTTAGTTTCTTATTTATGTTATTTTCAGTTGTGCCACCTATTATTTTTGGTATAGCAAGTTTGGATGAGCCAAATGCTTCCAAACTTTTTCTGTGGTCTCCTGATAGCATATGGTAGCTGCTGTAATTTTTGTAGAATTTTCTATGCAAGTCTTGTATATAGTCTTTTATGCATCCTTGTATCTATTTAAATTTAGAAAAGCATCAAATAATTTTATTTTATGATGGCCATCATATTTTCTAGTGTCCATGAGTTATGTATGTTGCCATGATATGGTTGGTATGGTCCAAATGTAAGTTTGGAACATCGTTAATTCTTTAAGTGAGATGTTGGTCCCATCTGGATAGATCTGGAGACTTAGAGAAGTTCACCTTGATAAGTTGGTTTCCTGGGAAACTTGTGAATACCAAAGTCGAAGATAATTGTCATATCTAGCTGCTGTTCTAATTTGAGGTCATTTGGCTTAGTGGTTTGAAAGTTACAGCTGTTTGAAGTTACCTCCCAGTTTTTGGGTGCTCTCTGTTTCAGCAGAGTAGTTTCTGTAATTCTGCTATTTCTAAGTACTTAAGTTCTGAATCATGCTTTGATGTATGAAGATGAAATCTCGAGAATTTTATAAGATTTCCAGAATGTCCTCTTTCAAGTCATTTGGACTTGTATATCTCCAGATATGATTTATTTTCTGTACAGCTGTTGCATGCCCAGATTTCTGGGAACTTGCTGGAAAGCAAGTTGCTTATGTTAGATGCTTTATGTAGTTAATTATGTTCTTTAAAGTGATTTGAATAGAGCTAGGCTACTTGGTAAACGAGTTTCCAGTGATGTATGTTCTCATAACATGTTTTATTCATTTATCTCCAATGTCATACATATCTCTGAAATGCTAGAGTTCAACTGTCCATTGCTTTTTACCTCTCAACATGCTTTGCTAGGAATCATATTTGCATGATTAACATGGACTTGGATTTTTTGAGGAAGTAATCAGTACATGAATCTAACTGATACAGTTTGATTTCCAAAGTATCCATTTTACCTAATTCTTATTATACTTGAACTGGAACTGCTGTTGCTACTTGCCAAAGTTGAAAACAATAATTGTGTTCTTAAATTTAGGAAAGTGCCTTCTCCAAAATTGCAGAGAGAATTGAGTTGGAAGCTTCTATGATTTCAAAAGAACAAGAAAGGCACATTCTTCATGAAACCTACAAGGAAATCACTAGATGCAGGAGCAGAAAAGGTCCTGGACATGGATACTTGGCAAAGTATCCGACCCGAAGCCAACTTATGAATGAACGAATTGAAGAGCAAGCTCGTGCATCTGCATTAGCAGCAGCAACCCAACAGAAGAATAGTGAGATGCAAGCTGAGGTAGAGAAGTTAAAAGAAAAGCTTACCATTCAAGCCGCTGAGAGGGAGAGCGACAAGGAAAAAATTCAGCAGCTACAACATCAACTGGAGAGTACAAGTAGCAAGATTAGAGAAGAACTAATGCAAGAGTTTTTTTCACTAATCAAACAACACAATCAAGCACCGCTTTTGGTAATAATACTACTTCTTAATTGTTACCAACATCATTGATTTTAGTAAAGCTTGATTGCTAATGTTTCTCCTTATAACTCCAATGCAAGAATGTTGCACCAACCACAACAACCCCTCAGCCTGCAGAAAATATGGTTAGTGGAAATGAAGGTGCAGATTTAGCATAGGTATTATTTTTTGATAAATGCAAACTGCGATGTAATGGATACCTACATTTAATCTGACATAATGTGTGAATCTTTTTTTAACATATGAAGGCTGGTACAGAATCTGCCCTGCCCACACATAATGAACCTGCTGTTGTTCCGACTCCCATCCAAGGATCAGAACATGTGCAACAGGTAATATACTTCAAAATTATCACCTGCAGTTGAACAGATTCTTAGAATTGCTAAGTGGTGATTGCTCCTTCAAATCTTCTGGTTTTTACAGACTGTACCAGACAATGTATTGTTGAGCAAACAGAAGAGTATCCAACCTAGTCGCCTCACTCGCAGCGCCAACAGATCACTTTTCCCAAATGATAAAGATAGTAATGAGATAGTGACATTTATTACATCACAAACACTAAGGAATACTGCTGCAAATAAAAAGCTACAATGCAGAAAGAAAGGAGGAAAGGTATGAGCAATTAGGTGTCATTTTAAGTTGTTGTCCAGATTATTAACATGAACTTTGTTCACTTATACATGTATGTTTGTTCACTTAACATGAGCAATCAGGAGTTCATGCCTTATGTGTTTATAGTTCGGCTTCAGTATCCATTCTATTTGTTAAACCCAAAAATATTGTTGTCTATCATGTGTTGTCTATGTTTGATTCCAACTGTGTGATCAACTATATATATTACTAATGCATGTCATTTTGACTTTTTTAGGAAGATCAACCTTGAGGGAGTCTTGGCAAGCTGAAATGAATCAAATATTGTGCAACAAGAAAGATGTCATGTTGATCTGTGCTAAGAGACATGTATTTTTGTTTATGATTGCCTATTTGTAGCATAAGTTAGTGGTTTGTAATGTAGTTCAACTTTACAATTACCTATTTGGAAATAGGAAGGCATTTGACTTCCTTACATTATACAAACTATTGAATGCTTATGATCCAAGTTATTAATATGATTGCCTTTTTGTGCCATTGAATTTTGTAATTTTATGAATTTCTGTGCAATGAATTTGATGCAATAATTGGTTGCCCTTCAAATCTCATGTCGATGCAATAGTTTGTATTGCATCCAAGCTCATGTTGATGTGATAGTTTGTATTGCATCTAACCTCATGTCGATGCAATAGTTCGAATTGCATCGAACATAACGTCGATGCAATAGTTCCTATTGCATCTAACCAAAATGATGATGCAATAGAACCTCTTGCATCGAATCAAAATGGTGGTGCAATAGATTATATAGCATCGAACCTAATATGGATGCAATATAGTCTATTGCATCAAACGATAGCCGTTGCAATAGATGTATTGCATCAACATGATTTGGATGCAATAAGCTATTGCATCTCTCAATTTTGATGCAAGAGACAACGGATGGACGATGCAATAGCTGCTTCTCGCATCAACCATAAGTAACCGATGTGAAAGGCTATTGCATCAAGACCACTTGCATCGGCTGGCATCAAACGAGAAATTGATGCGAAACTGAACTATTGCATCTATTTTAGACATATAACATCAAAAATTGACCGGTGCAACAGGGTCAAAATTTAGTAGTGAGAGTTCGGGAAACAGTTTGTTGTTCTATCCTACTATAGGTATGCATGGAAAGGCTCGACACCGGTCCCTCATTTGACGATAGATGGCGCTTAGGCTCTTTGCACATAGTGCGCGATTGGTGTATTTGCTTGTCATTCTGACGTTCTTTCACTTTCCATTCGAATTGGAACGTTCTTCATCCCCTTAGTCCTATGCTCGCAAATGCGTATTTTAACCCGGGGCTGGCCCACGGGGCTAAAATGTGCACAATCCGTTGGAGCGATAGAACGGTGAGGGATGATCGCAGATCTAGCACGATGCGAGAAGGAAGTGAGAGAAGAATGACGTGGGCTCTCTTTCCTTTCGCTCCATTGGCCTTGAGAGAACTAGTTTCCCATTTCCTCTTAGGCTCGTGCACAGGTGCCTGGCCTTGCCTAGGAGCTTGTCCGTTGGGTTGGTCGGGGCGACCTGAGCGAGAGGCTAGGACATGGGTCATCGACTTGTCACGTCATGGGGAGCGATCGGAAGACACTCGGGAAAGGGTCACTAGGGCAGTGACAAATAGTGCTACATCATGAAACATGTATATGCACCCTCATGTGCGGCCTGCTTGAGTGAACCATGTTCGGCTGCTAGCACGAGTCGGATTGGGTCACTCGGGGACCCAAATAGCTCTAAGATAAGGTGTATGGGCACGCTGTTCCATGGCTCGCTCCACAGGTTGGTTGTAGTTCTATAGAGCTGAGGCGAGCCTACATGTGTATGTGGACGTGTTTGGGTGGAGCGGCTAGAGTCAAAGATGATGTAACTAACTGATGTTCCAGAAGCTGTCGTGGGGCCAGTTGCCATTACTTGGGGTACGGTGAGCCCCTGAATGTCTACTCATGATGAAGTCTGACCTTCAAGCCACGAGTTGATGAGGGCGCTTCTTTGGTGCTTAGAAATGTCGTAGCTGATTGTTGGCATTTCTAAATGCAATCACCATGTATGGAGTTAGAATCCATCCCTGGCAATGGCGCCAGAAATGCTTGTTGGTATTTCTTAGCATCATCACTAATGATTAGTAATATACCACTAAGTAATAGCCTTGATAGTTCCTTAACAATTTTAAATAATTATCTACAAGTGCACAGAGCTATCATTGTAGCATTTCACTCGAAAGTATTCAGGGTATCGTTATTTATATTTTTCCCAAAGGAAGGAATTTGATTAAGAGCCTTGTATGGATATCAACTTGAATAATAATGCTTGTAAGTACACCAATGTTTATAGCAGGGGTACAAACGGTGTTTTCAAGATAGTGGACACACACTTGGCATTCCTCAAAGGATAAAAGAGAAAAGAAAGATAAAAAGAATAATTCTAAGTTGAGCAGGCATTGGTCTAGTATAGTCATACAAAGTATAGTTGATGATCATACAAGTTACATAATTAGTCTTAGGGTTAAGTGTGAAGTAGGTTGGGAGGCCACTGAGTACTGGTCTGCCAGCAACCTCATGTGATAATTTAGACTCCTACACCCTAGTCGAACGTGGGGGATTACAAGGGACGGACAGGGCTATCACCACCTACCGCCTACCCCTCAACCATGGAAAGGGACAATGCATTCACCTATCTCTCCATACCCAAGTACCACGCTTGCGTATACAGAAACTACCCAAATCTCCCTAGGTCCCTGACCCTACGGATCGATAGGTAAAGAACATGGGCACACCTAACGGCACGATGAACTACCACCTCAACTTTCCTCTAATTCTAATTATATAAGTTATATGAGTGTTTAAGCATAAAGTTAAGTGTGCTACTTTCATGACACATAAACTATAGACTAGTTCATATATCAATATTATAACACAATGACTATACCATAGTTCATAAGTATGACCATAAATATCATATGACAGCATAACTTTGGAAGAACTCATATCTCTATTCATACCCAAAGGTCTCTTCTTCCAAGGAACCAAGCTCTCTAAGGTAGCTTTGCCTTGCTCTAAACTACTAAACGAAAGTAAAGCTACAACTTGAGAGTGAGGTGTGTGAGGTGATGCTTAAGGTGAGTGTGTGTTATAGAGGGAGGGGTACCCCTCTATTTATACAGGAGGGAGGTGGTGCTCGGAGGCTATTCATGGCGCATCCCCGACTCCCACTGCCTTAGCATGGTTCCATGCCACCGCCACAGCAAGGGGTACCTGAGCAACGCTGGCAGGGGGTCGGTCTCCCCTAGGGGTCGGCCGCCCCTTGACCATGGCCGCTCACCACCGCCTTTGCGTGGCAGGTCGTGGGTTGGACCAGGATGGCTTCTCCGTGGTGCTTTGCCCCATTTGCATTGATTTGATAGGCGCCTCCTGTCACAGAACCGACCAATTTATAAGAGCACAAGTACAAAAACAATCGCCAAAACGATCAAATTCTCAAACTTGAGCCCATATAAACCCGGTAGTCAACTAAAATCTCGAAGGATTTCAAACCAACTTGCATACAACCAAGATCACAGTAATTCAACATAACATATCATATGTTACAACATTCGCAGACGTTCGCAAATAGATTACATCAACACAGAGTCATCGTTATTACAAAACAAGTCTTGTAAAATATGCGGAAGCAAATAGTTTAACTCACACATCCGAGTTCAAATACACATACTGGTTCGCTGATCACAGCCCGCAAAAGCATTCAGATAAGATAACAGAGATCATGCCCATGATCTAGTCTTCATCACCCTCCGGGTGGAGACAATACTTACAGAATCCCCGATATAGAAGGTCATCTGCAACAAGAGAGAATAAACCCTAAGTACGGGAATGTACTCAGCTAGACTTACCCGACGAAAACCAAAATAAATGACACCAAGGATTATGCATAGCTTAATGTAGTGGATCTGGCTGACACTTTCTTTTTGCAGGAAAGCATAAGTAATAATGATCAACTCTTAGCCTGAACTAGCAGTGACTTTTTAGCCATTAACCTATCAACTATATTAGCACCTGTACTAAGCAATCATTTTATTAGGGTGCAAACATTAATAACCATATCAGGTATTCATTATGGCAACCTTATCATCATCATCCATTTAACCATATCGTTAAATTAATTGAATCTACGTTGCCGCTGCTCAGTCAAGTTCTCACTATCCGGGAGAGACGGCGATTCGAATCGATTCCTATCCAGCTGGAGGGGTATTCCTAAACACAAACCCTGCTTCCCTCGTCGAAGTCGCAAACAAGTCACCTTTGGTACAATTCAGGAGTCGCGAGTCCGATCAGATCGACATTCTCAGAGAACCACTCTACCAAGGTTGTTCGGGACTCTAATCTGCCTTGGACTTATGCCAATGGCTCTCTCGCACATCCTTACTACCTCTAGAATGCCGCCACTGCTCGCGTCCCCGGCCTAGAGTCGAGCTACTAGGCTTCGAGGTCGGAACGACTTATCCGGCTAGCTAAGTGTTAGGCTGCGTTCAACATGACATGAGGACGTACAGCGTATCGGTCCTTAAACGACTCAGACGGAGTCACTATGTTCAAACCTACACAAGACCCCGCCCGGTCTTAATTCATTATTCACATGGTTCTTCTCCACGATAGCAAATATAGCCAACCGTGATCCACCTCATCCTAAAGCTCGCAGGTGACAGAAAATCACCTGACTTCTACCGCACTAAGCATGGCTAAGCATTTAACCCGTTCCTAAACTTAAATAGGATTCCAGTGCGATATCTGGACAAGGAAGGATATATAATGCAGCAATTGGTTCCAACCAATTCCTATACTTAATGCATCATCAACAATAAAAGGTACTCAAAGTATTTGTAAAAACATGGGAGGCTTAATATGCTCCGAGGCTTGCCTTTTAGGAACGAGGAAGGCTAGTGGTCAGGGCACTCGGGCAATTCCTCCACGGCGACTGCTTCGTCGGATTCCTGCACCTCGGGTTCCTCCTCCTGGTTGGCTCCCTCGAACTCCAGCAATGTCACTCCCTCCGGCACACCTATTGCATGAATGCGCAAGATAAATATCATGGATGCATATGAATGAATGTCAGGGATGCTCGGGGAATGCACATGTTCGCTGTAGTTTGCATATTCCAACTTAAGCCCTATTCAAATCACTTTACTTACCAAATTTATACAACCTAATGTATAATTGCTCATCTTCAGTTAATGACCTAGCACCTGCACCTAAG